CATAAATATATACATATGGTTATGTATATACGCACACACACACACACGGATGCCACACGCACATGCATATGTATATGTATGTATATATATATATATGATTTGTTATGTTTGCGTCATGCACAAGGCACGCACGCGCGCACACACACACGCAGACACACATAGACATACATAGACATATAGAATCATACATAGGCAGACGTAGGCATACATACTCATGCATCATGATGCGTAGACATGCATCACATTTGCGTATAATGTCCACCTCTGATTTATAAACCTCTTTTCCCCTAAATAAACTTAAAACCACCATCAAACTTGTTTGTATGTATTGGTTTTCAATTGCCACAATTTAAAACGATAATATAAAATGCAATTTCCAAAAAAATAAGGAAACCAACAATTGTTTTGGTATTGATTTAGTATTCATTTCATGGATTTAGTATTGATTTAGTATTCATTTCATGGATTTAGTATTGATTTAGTATTCATGTCATGGATTTAGTATTGATTTAGTATTGGTCTCGTATTCATTTCATGGATTTAGTATTGATTTAGTATTCATTTCATGGATTTAGTATTGATTTAGCATTCATTTCTTGATTTGGTATTCATTTCATGGGTTTAGTATTGATTGAGCATTCATTTCTTGATCAGCGGGAGGGGGAAACTCAGTAGCTTTATTCGGGGTCAAACTCTAATTGGTGCTAAGGCACCTCATGGGGGGTATCCTTGATGAGTTGATGTGGGATTGATTTTGGAAAATTTTGAATAAAGGTTTTGAATAGAAAGAGCAACCATTAATTTTGAAAATTTGAAGTTATCAAGGTAAGATCTAATGAGCTGGCAATATGAATTAGTACATGAAAGCCACCTCAAATAAAGCATGGACAATTTTTTTCAGCCCCATCTGGACGAATCTGGGTTTAGGGCCAAAAACATTTAGCTTTATTCAGGGTCAAACTCTAATTAGTGCTAAGGCACCTCATGGGGGGTACCTTGACGGGTTGATTTGGGATTGATTTTGGATAATTTTGAGTAAAGGTTTTGAATAGAAAAGAGCAACCATTATTTTTGAAAATTTGAAGTTATCGAGGTAAGATCTAATGAGCTGGCAATATGAATTAGTACATGAAAACCACCTCAAATAAAGCATGGACAATTTTTTCAGCCCCAGCTGGGCAAATCTGGGTTTAGGGCCAAAATTTTTTAGCTTTATTAAGGGTCATTTATTGGGTCCATTGATAAATCGTTGTACTGTGTTTTTTGCGCATGACAGTAGAAGTACCATGTTTAGACGTATCTAGACCCCCTCACGCGGCCTAGCCAGCGATAGTAGTTGCAAGGCATATTTTTCACACGGGGTACCGCGAGCTAGGCGCAGTGGCGCTTGGCTCCAGCTGAAATACCTCAGGACAATGTGGCAGAATGTGATATGCAAAGTGTGGCAAGTTGTGGCAAGTTGCCAAAGTTGCGAGAAAGAGATGCTCTTGCCATCTCTTCTGAGTTCCTCAACGTTCTGAATGCATTGAATCCCTTTGTCAGGCACTGAAAACACATGACTTCGTAAAGTTGAGGTGAGCATGCTATTCGTGGTTTCATGCAAGGAGCTTCCCCGCGAAGTCACTCAGCAGCTTTGGCAGGCAGCCGCCTGTGCTGAGGCCTGCAGATGCTGTGTGCTGTACCGTTAAACGTCGACACGTGTGGACACATGTTGACATGTTCACACTGATCACCCACAGTCAAGCATGTGTGACACAACTGTCGCATCAGACATGCGTCACGTCACACATACGTGAATCATCGTGAATCATATGATATGTGTCACACATATGTGAAACAAATGTAACACATATGTCAGCATTGCAACGTCGTTTTGAGGAAACCTTCTTCATGTTCATTCACGTTCACGCAAAGATTTAAATGTGTCTCATGCATGTCCTTTCTTAATCATTCCCCTCTGTAGCAGGCACCCCCTCAACTGCGAGATTCTCCTTCCGCACTCTCTCTGATTGCTGCCTCTGCAGCTGGGCAAGCAGAGACATAACATAGCATGTAACATAGTTACACTATGTTATACGTAGTTTGACAAAGGACCCTAGCTGCTACCAACTGCTACTAACTTTTTACATTTTTGGATAGGACAACTTCTCAAAGTCCTTGGAACAAGCTTTGCACTGAGGTAGGTGAGGAGTTCCGGGCTATGGCGGCAATCGTCAATGGCCTGAGCTCTCGAAAAGGCTTGCCGCTCAAAGGAGGTGAGAAACAGAAGGATGGATTGCAAAAAGGTGGTGCAAGACTAGCCTTGGAAATATGCGGCCCTACGCCAAGAATGACCATGACATAGTGGAAATGAAGCATGCACGACTCATACTTAAACGTCACTCCAGCAATTGGCCTACCCATGACCAAGGCCGGCAAGATGATTCGACCTTGACAGTCCTTGCGCTCAGAGAGCATGACAGCAAGATGCTATAAGTTCAGGAATTTCATGGGCAAATTGAAGACATTCCGGAGAGACAATGGACTGAGCGATTCATGACATTTTGTTACATAAAGCCGAGGCCCGCCTCGTGTCGCAGGTGGACAATTCAGTGCACAGCCTCCGGCCCGCATCCCAGCTGCTGCCCAGCTTGTTTGTACGATTTACTGCTCGATGCTATTGAGCGTATTTTATAGTGGGTTGCGCCTTGGGTCAAAGAGTGTTCACATCACTGGCCTGGGTGTTGCTCTTTTCACAGCATTGCTCCTGTTTGGAGTCACTCCGTTTTGTGGTCCTGGTTTTGGACATTGATTTCAGTTTCAGCTTTGCTTTGCGCAAGGAGCAACCCGGCTCGGATGACCATGCTGGGCTGCGCCTCTGTACTTCTAGTCAGCTGCTGTCGGTCTGCAGGAGGACTGGAATGGCAGGCACATGGATCGATCTACAAAGTTTCTGCAATATTGACGCGGTGACATTCAGGACTATTCATGTGTGCCATGGTGAACGCATAGCGAAATTTCCCATAAAAGGGGATTGTCATCCTGCCAGTAATAATGGTTAATATGCCCACTGCAGGGAATCCCCAATCATGGCGGGATGACCATACCCCATGCACCATGTTTGGACTCTTGCACATGGTACACTTGGCACACGCAGATTATCTATGTCTTTCCAGAGGCTTGCAAACTTTCGGCGCACTGTTGGCCAACGTTTTAGTGCATTTATGCAGGAGGAAGTGTGGAAGCTTTAGCAAGGAGCTCAAGATCCGGATGGAAACTGGTTGGGAGCATTGCCTCAGTGTTACATGGTGTTACATGGTACGCAAGCTGCGCTGGTTTGAGCTACCGGCGCTGTTAACGGACCCGCAGGTTTTGCTGTTTTTTTTGCTGTCGCATTGCCCGTCAGTTAGAAGTTGTGCACGTCAGTTTGAAGTTGTGCCCGTCAGTTAGAAGTTGTGCACGTCAGTTTGAAGTTGTGCCCGTCAGTTAGAAGTCGTGCCCGTCAGTTAGAAGTTGTGCCCGTCAGTTTGAAGTTGTGCCCGTCAGTTAGAAGTTGTGCACGTCAGTTTGAAGTTGTGCCCGTCAGTTAGAAGTTGTGCCCGTCAGTTTGAAGTTGTGCTCGTCAGTTAGAAGTTGTGCCCGTCAGTTAGAAGTTGTGCCCGTCAGTTAGAAGTTGTGCCCGTCAGTTAGAAGTTGTGCCCGTCAGTTTGAAGGTGTGCTCGTCAGTTAGAAGTTGCGCGCGTCAGTTAGAAGTTGTGCATGCAGTTAGAAGTTGTGCACGTCAGTTTGAAGTTGTGCCCGTCAGTTAGAAGTTGTGCACGTCAGTTTGAAGTTGTGCCCGTCAGTTAGAAGTTGTGCACGTCAGTTTGAAGTTGTGCCCGTCAGTTGGAAGCTGTGTGCGAAGGATAATGTGATTTTCTTGGGGAACCGGGTGGGGTTGGGGAGGGGGGTGGGGGGGGGGCAAGGGGTACGCTGTAGCATGTCTCTGGTCACTACTCACACGCTTTTGATGCTACGCTGTAGCATGTCTCTGGTCACTACTCACACGCTTTTGATGCTACGCTGTAACATGTCTCTGGTCACTTGCCACAGGCTTTTGATGCTACGCTGTAACATGTCTCTGGTCACTTGTCGCACGCTTTTGATGCTTCGCTGTAACTGTCTCTTGTCTTTCTATTTTCAGGCGTGTAAACTAAGACGTGTAATGTTGACATTTTAGGGTTGAGCATTTCACATCAATTTGCTTACAGGGCATCGGACCCATGAAATTTCGACCGCTAACATGGAGGCTGTTATCATGTCTGGATCGTACATCACTTATCTCATAAATTTTGTTTGTTCATTGGATTGAAACACACCTGACAAATGATGGTTTATCACGATGCAACTGAAGCGCTTCGTGCCCTTCTCCGTCCATAGCAAAGACAAGGTTACCAAAAGGGATTCTCAAAGAATCCAACAGTATGTGTGGTCCTTCGCCTATCGTTGGAGCCACAAGGCAGACTTGAAAGGAAGTCTCGCCAAACTGGCAGCTAAGGTTAACAAACGCAGACGTGGAACCCATGAAGAGAGAAAAAGAAGAGGACAAAACGCCGTCTTTCATTCCGTTTTCCAAATCCACATGTGCAAATTATTTAGCCGAAAAGAATTCAATAATCAATGAATAAATTCCTAGCGTAACGTGGGACGAAAACACCATTTCTAATTGAAGGCAAAACAACAAAATCGTCACAGCGCCACAGTTTAAAAACAAAAATCAATGAAGAATGGTTGAATCAAAATCATTAAAACACCGGGTCCGCTATCAGCGCCGGTACCTGGTTTGAACATGTTTGAAACCTGTCACTGTCAGAAGGCCCGTCATGGTTTTACACAGCGCGCAGCCTCTCAGGCGATTTCGAGCAGCATTCTTAGCAAGCATGACTTGTTGCCACTTGGCAGCGTCCTGGCCTACATCCAGCAGTTCCTGGCACAGGCCAGTGGCTGTGCCTTCATCCTTCATACGGTCTTCATACGTTTCATTTGTTCAGCAACTTCGCGGGAGCCTTGGGGCCACTTCACTATAGTTACTAGGTTCCTGCGCAAGTATGCCCATTGCTGGGCTCCAGATTGCGGCAGATGGAGGCAGGTGCTTGCGCTCAGTATACTCAGATCTTTCAGGTCTTAGGCCAGCTGGTTACAAGTTTGCTGTGAAATTCAGGCCTTAAACTTTCACTGGTCGGATGCCTTTAGTGCCCCTGCTCCGCTTGCTGAAGTGACACGGCTGCATGTACTTTACAACATTTGACCACTTGTTTGGTCCAAGATTGATTACATAATTTACATTCCTTATGACATTCCTTATGGCATCCCTTGTGCAATATCCCTAATATTCTGCAATCTTCAAGCAGCTTGAGGCACTGCTCCAGGAGGCTGGGCAGATGGAGACATACATGAGACATCATGAGACTGCGCTGACTGTGCGTAAGTTGCACGCCATGTGACTGTGCCGCCTGGTCACACTGTGCAGGTCCTGAAGCAGAAACCCGTCCGTGCAGAGACCAAAGATCTCTCTTCAGCTGTCCGGCCCCTATTTTGACAATTTCAGCAGTGGTGACTGTAGGATTGGTGTGACATTTCTCCGATGTCCCAAGCAGAGGAAAGAACGAACGTGAGAAATGATGCAGGCATTGCTGCAACAGCCCTTTGCTGACACTCCTTCGTTCCGCAAACCACAGCAGGCCTGGGTGATCGACGGTGCACTGTTGCGTGTGTGCAGAGCTGTCCTTTCGGTCTGCCAGGTTGTTCAGCCAGGTGGGCATCAGGTTGGACCATCTCAGTTTGTTCCAGAGTCTGACAATATGTGAGATGCCATGAAGGAACAGCAGTTCTGAGCAGTGCACCGGCTGGCCCTTCGCATCCACGCAAGAGCCTTTTGCTGAAAGGTGTGCCAGCTTCACACAGCCACCTTGATGCAATGGTTGGGCCTGGGTTCCACTCAGGCCTGGAGTTGCTGCGTCTAAAAATAGAGTGCCTTTCTTCTTTCCAAAGTCTTGAAAACTTGGATCTGGCTGCATAATGCTGCATCATATCCAAACACCACCAAACTGTCCAGGTGCAGGTGCGTGCTTTCAAGGTGGGATAATTTGAAACGGCATTTCAAACATTTGGATCCGCAGACGCCAGCAATATTTTATTTTTGTTCTATGGCCGTCTTTGCTGCATAAAGGCGATACAACATGAAGCCGAAGAGAGCCCTAGCAGCCATGAAGAGAGCCCTAGTCAGCAAGACAGAAGGCGTGGTGGAACCAAAACACGTGCATTGTCAATCGGTTCATTGGCTGCATGCTAGTAAAAGATGCTTAAAGACGGCAAAAGGAGCTTTGTCCTTGTTGTAGATCATTTCCGCATTGCAGACTCGAGCTTTGGCAGGGATCCTGCAGTTCTTGCCAATGGTCTCTTGATCTACTGGCAGAAGACATAGCTTTAAGCACAGACATGACAGCAGCACTATTTGGAAGTGTTGAATGGCGCCGAAGGGACAACTGGCATCTCTTCATTGGAGCCGTAGCATTGATAGCCGCATTGTGCTAGGTTCCATTAGGTTCCAATTGTGGAATTGGAGCAACTTGCCCCGAAAAACACGTGCTCTAAGTAATTCTTGAAAAATACGGAGGCTTAACTAAATCAACCAACAACACAACCCAACGCAATCGAAGGCATATCACACCTGGACCTAGACATCCATTTGTTCTATGTCATGTTTACATACAGTACCATGAAGGTCACGTCGTATTGCATGATTTCGCTTTCGCCCAACCTTTTGGCCATGAGTGGTTGTCCCATGTTGTCCCGCAAGTCCGCAGCAGAGCTGCTTAGAAAGCCAGTCTCAAACATGTGGAGCAAGTCAGCCACGGTCCAGCATTGCCTCCGTGGAAGACATGCGGCAAAGACTCAGCGGAATTACTTTACTGAAATGGTCAATTTGAGTTTTATAAACAGTAGATTCAGTAGATCGCACGGTGAGCAAGAACTCGAGGACCGAGGAGATCGTTGTAAAAGTTCTCGCGCCCGCCTTTGATTATGCGAATTCGATGTGCCGCATACGCAGGTAGATAACGACCACGTGAAAGATATGCAAGGACACACCCAACCATTACGATCTTTATTGGGATTTATTGGGTCTATATTTTTTTTGAGCTGTGATTTCAATTTCAATATTTTTGAGCTGCTTACCGCGCGAATTCTGGCTCCGTTCAGGCTTGAAGTTTGTAGGGTGTGACTGACTTGCAATGCTTTGCAAGCGTACATGGCAAGACTTGGCTAAGGCGCTGTTCAGATGGCGAAGGTGCACAAGTTAGGGACAGCGCTGGTTGTGGTCGATCGGGTGCTTTGCGCAACAGCCTCGGAAGATTTGGAAATCTCAGGTGTTCTCCTGAAGGCCATGACTGAACCATGACTGACCCTAAGTGCCTAAGTTCAAGGTTCCGGATCCTGGCGTGGACCACTTGCTCCTGACGATCCTATGGAGCCGACAGATGAGCTTCTGCCTTGGCCGTGATTCTGAAAGCAGCACCGGTATGTTCCGCAACTTTTAGCAACTCCGATTGGAGTGATATTGGAGTGATTTTTGAAGGTTTTAGAGAGTGCGGCATCATCACGAAAGGTAGCTCCAGTCGGCTTGCCTTGACTTTTACTTTCGACAAGTAAAGGGGAGGGTGGCCAGCCCTGATTATTCAGGAGGTTGCTGTTCATTTTAGGACCACCCCCCAACCCCCCCACACTGTAGTTAAATGTAATTAGTTTACAGGGGTTTTGTGACTCATGCATGGAAAAAATATTTCTTGGAACATGATGAAAACTGGGTAAGTACCAGTGTTTTTGCTAGGCACTGTCCAAAAAATACTGTAAATACCGTGGCTTTTGCTACCAAGGGCAAACAACTTTGTAAATACCTTCGTAAATACCGTAATTTTGGGCTTGCGAGGCGCCAGCAACATCGATATTTACGGTGTTTTTTTGAGGTTTGTGTTTTTTTTTGTGTGCCATTTTTTGGTTGTTTGAGCTCGTACACGTGCGTATATATAGAAGAAGGTTGTTTATCTTTGTGGTGCTGTATCTTTTCTGTTGTCAGTCTTGTCAGTTTGGCTGTGTTTAACCCATTTTTGAAGGCCTTCGGGCCTGCGCGCATCACCGCCATCATCAAAAACAGTAACGACAGCAATGGCAATGAGTTGAGCTTGGATGAGCTTGGATTTTTCCCCATGTCCTCACTGAGGGGTTCTTGCGATAAGAGTAGGCCGGTGCTTGATCGAGGTGCTAACTCTGGGGTGCGGCATTTTCCCTGTATATAAATTTCTGCATAAAATGGCTCGTGTGACATGTCTATGTGCATTTCGACTCCGCAGGCTCGCGCAAAGTGTGGGTCACTGTCTTGGTCTGTGGCCTTTTATTTGTATATTTCCGCATAAAAAGGTTCTTGCGACAAGTCCATGTTCATTTCGATTGCGCAGGCTCGCACAAAAGGCGCGCCTAACTTCTGGGGTGCGGCATTTTCCCTCATAGAAGGGCTTTTGTGACATGTCCATGTGCATTTGGGCTCGCACAAAACGTGCGGCGCATGTCTGGGGCACGGCATTTTTCTTGTAAATTCTTGCATAAAAAGGTTCTTGTGACATGTCCATGTGCATTTCGATTGCGCAGGCTTGCGCAAACTGTGGGTCGCGGTCTTTGGATCGGTCCTCCTCCTCCACATCATCGTCCTCAACATCATCATCTTCCTCCTCCTCAACATCATCATTCTCCACATCATCATCTTCCTCCCCCTTGACACCATCACCCTCAACATTGTCATCCTCCACTTCATGTTCCGCAACATCGTTATCCTCCACCTCATCTTCCGCAACATTATCATCCTTTTCATCATCTTCCTCCACATTCCCATCCGCAACATCATCATCTTCCTCCTTCTCAACATCATCACCCTCAACCTCATCCTCCACATCATCCTCAACATCATCATCCTGCACCTCGTCATCCTCAACATCATCCTCCGCATCATCATCATCATCATCAACATCAACATCAACATCATTATCCTGCACCTCATCATCCTCAACATCGCCATCCTCAGCATCATCGTCCGCAACATTATCATACATTATCCCCGCGCCCACACACACACACTGTTTGGGGACTCTTGCCAGTATAATATGGCATAATTTTGCTCATGTTCATGTTTTTTACATGAGATGTTGGTGCGGCGACGAGTTTTACACCGATACGCTTCTACAACAGACGACGTTACGCACAGCAGCCTTTACACGGAGCAGCTCTTATGCGCGCATGCTCTTACACAGAGTTTTGTGCACAGAGAAGCTTTTACACACAGACGCCTTTACACAGAGGCTTTCGCGCAAAGAAGCTTTTACACACAGAAGCTTTTACAAACCGATGCTTTACACAAAGATGATCTTGCGCTTTTACACACAAACGCTTTCACAGACAGAAGCTTTTACACAGAGAAACCTTTTTGCACAGAACAGCTTTTACACAAAGAAGTTTTCCTGTTCCCCTTTAAAAAAGGCAAACAGGTATTTCCCCAAACAGCGTGGCCACACTGAGGGGTTCTTATGGCAAGAGTTAAGGCCCGGGTGTTCAATCGAGGTGGTATCCTTAGCGTTTGGCATTTTTCCCGTCAATTTCCACGCAAAATGGCTCTTGTGAAATGTCCATGTGCATTTCGACTGCGCAGGCTCGCACAAAACGTTGTCTCCGGCAGTGTCCCCGGCCATTTTTCTTGTGAATTTTCACACAAAATGGCTCTTGTGAAATGTCCATGTACATTTCGACTGCGCAGGCTCGCACAAAACGGTGTCCCCGGCGGTGTCGCCAGCAACACATCATGGCTCTGATGAAATGTCCATATGCATTTCCACTGCGCAGCTCGCGCAAAACGAGACATCTCGTACAGAAATCTTGCCAAGAGGGCGCTTGTCAAGAGATCTTGCCAAGAGACCTCTTACAGAGATCTTGCCAACAAAGCTCTTTTAGAGATCTTGTACACAGATCTTGCCGAGGGACCTCTCATAGAGATCTTGTACAGAGACCTGGCGATTTATAGAGATCTTACTTGGAGGTCCCTCACAGAGATCTTCTGTGGAGATCTCTTCTAGAGAGATCTCTTCAAGAGTCTTGCCAAGAGACATCTTATAGAGACCTTTTGCAGACATCTTGACAGGACACCTCTTTGGAGATCTTGCACAGAGACCTTGCATAGAGATTTGTTGCAGAGATCTTGCCAAGACGTCTCTTACATAAATCTTGCCGAGAGAACTTTTCTAGAGAGCTTGTACAGAGGTTTCATACAGGGAACTTGTACAGAGACATTGCATGGAGATCTGTTGAGATCTTGCCAAGAGTCCCTTACAGAGATCTTGCCAAGAGACCTCTTTTAGAGATCTTGTACAGAGATCTTGCCAGGACACCTCTTGTGGAGACTTTTTACAGAGAAATTGCATAGAGATCTGTTGCAGAGATCTTGTCAAGAAGTCTTTTACATAAATCTTGCCAAGAAAGCTTTTATAGAGAGCTTGTAAAGAGATATCATACAGAGATTTAGCCATGAGATCTCTTCTAGAGATCTTGTCCAGGAGGCCTTGCCAAGAGACCCCTTAGAGATATCTTGTCCAGAAGTCTGGCCAAGAGACCTCTTACAGAGATCTGTGCCGAGAGAGCTCTTATATACAGTTCTTGTACACAGATCTTGCCCGGAGACCTCTTATGGAGATCTTGTGCAGAGACCTGGTGAAGAGAGCAGAGGTGTTCCTCGGAGATCATTTATAGATAGCTTGAACAGAGATCTTATTTTTGAGATCCCTTACCAAGATCTTCTGTGGAAATCTCCTATAGGCACCTTGTACAGATAGCCTTGCGCAGGGATTTTGCACAGCAGCTTCTAGAGAGAAGGAGATCTTGCACACGATCTTCTACAGAGATCTTCACAAAAGGAACTTGCAGAATCTGACCTGCTATCTTCTCTTTTCACTACTAGGGGGTCGCTCTGGTCCCGCTAGCTGCTTTTAGGTCCTTTTCACCTTTCCCTTTAGAATCCTAACTGCGCACTGTTTGGGGTCCCTTGCCGGAATAATTGAGCTTGTTTTCTTTTTTCGTTTCCTGCCCTTTCCCTCCAGGTTTTGAATGCTGATGGATGACGCTGGGATATCCACGTATCTTCGTTTGTCCTTTGAATTCCCTTTTAGCGTTCTATAAATGCCACGACGCTCATGCTCCACCCTCTTCTGCAGACAGACGACGTTACGCACAGTGGCCTTTACACCGAACAGCTTTTATCCACACATGATCTTTCACAGAAAGGTTTGTGCACAGAGAATCTTTTACACACAGACGCCTTTACGCAGAGGTTTTTATGCAAAGAGGCTTTTACACACAGAAGCCCGAACCTCCACTGTTGCTGTTTGAACTCCTGTCCTTTTTTTTTGCTTCCTCTTCCTGATCACTGATCACCTACCTTTCGTGTTGCCCTTCCCGAGTTGTTATTGATGTTCCAGTGGTGGCAGTGGTGGGTGCTGAGGCAGTTATCACACGTCACGAGTAATGTGCCAACTGCCATTGTCGCTGCATGCGCGCGTCAGAATATTGCATTGTAGAGAGGATGCTTGCGAGGCTGTTGGTCGAGTTTGCACTGCTGATATTTGTGAATTCTTACCAGTAGTACCACACACAAGGCGCGGAAGTTTCAAAGATAGGACACTATAGGAGGTGAGTTGTTGCGACGCATGGATGGCAGAGCGAACCCACTGCTGGATCGAAAGGTGGTTGGAGTGTCGGCCTTTCTATCTGTCTATCTGTTTATCTATTTATCGGTCCGTTTATCTACCTGTCAAATAATCTATATCTATCGTACCAATGCGTTTTGCGGTTTGTCCATCCCATCTCTCCGAAGTAGTGCGCCTGCCACGAAAGTGAGGCCAGGTCATACGAAGTGCTGCACCTGCCACGCAAAATCATCTTAGGAAACCTGCAGTGTGTAAAAGCTTCTGTGTGTAAAAGTTTCTGTGTGTAAAAGTTTCTGTGTGTAAAAGCTTCTGTGTGTAAAAGCTTCTGTGTGTAAAAGGGTCTGTGTGTAAAAGGGTCTGTATGTAAAAGCGTCTGTGTGTAAAAGCGTCTGTGTGTAAAGGAGTCTGTGTGTAAAAGCCTCTGTGTGTAAAAGCTTCTGTGTGTGTAAAAGCTTCTGTGTGTAAAAGCGTCTGTGTGTAAAAGTGTCTGTGTGTAAAAGTGTCTGTGCGCAAAAGCGTCTGTGTGTAAAAGCTCCTGTGTGTAAAGGAGTCTGTGTGTAAAATGGTCTGTGTGTAAAGGAGTCTGTGTGTAAAAGCGTCTGTGTGTAAAGGAGTCTGTGTGTAAAAGCCTCTGTGTGTAAAAGCTTCTGTGTGTAAAAGCTTCTGTGTGTAAAATGGTCTGTGTGTAAAAGTGTCTGTGTGTAAAGTGGTCTGTGTGTAAAAGTGTCTGTGTGTAAAAGCGTC